CCAAGGGAGAGAGGCGGACAAGCTCCTCTTGTGCAATTTACAGCCTGTGAAACCCACTGGAGGGTCAGTCATTCTGACTTGACACAATAAGTGTGTGAATAAACACGTACATATGCACTCACCTAAGTACACAGAGAGAAATACAGACCTGTGTGTGTATATGAACAGGTGTACAGACTAGTACACATATAAATACATATATATGCACAGATATGTAAACTCACGAAATGAGTGCACATCTGTATACACGCACACCTGTACACAAACACGCACACACGTATGTGGGTATATCCACACGGCTGGCCCTCCACAGCTGCAGGGTATGTGACATATGCCCCACCAGCTGCCCCTGAGCTGCTGCCAACACGTGGTGACCCTCCTTTCCTGAGCTGAAAGCTGCAGTGAGGAGACCGTTGTATGAATCGAACATAATTTCTCCATCGAGTCATTTGTCTGTCTTTCCGTCCATCTCCCATGGAGGGCCTTTAAGCTAGCAGCCTGACCTGTAACTGCTCCTTCTACTACCGGGCCTCCCTTTTCAGCGTGCACCCCATGTGCGGAGCATCCTCGGGCGTCCCTTCAATGCGCCTGCTCACAGTCTCTGCATCTTGCGCTGGTTACAAGGATGAACCAATGCTGATACGTTTTTACTCCTCCACGTGCACGGCTACATGGTTACACGGGGGCTCACTGTGCTGTCCAGGCCCGTGGGTTCTGACAAATGCCCCGTGTCACGTCGTGTTCGCGGTTATGATGTCACACAGCACAGTCCACCAGCATCCTGGATGCCACATCCTGGTCCCACCCCACTCCCTCCCGTGGTCCCCTGGCCCCCTGGCTGTTGCTGTAGCGATGTGTTTCTGGGATCCTTCCATCAAGCTCTGCCCTCGGAGGCTGTGACCCGTCTGCTGCTCTGTGGGAGAAAGATGTGGTGGTCTGCCCGGAGAGGGACAGGAGGGCACCAACTCAATGCAGGGACTGCAGTTTCTGGTTTGGTGTGGGCGTGGAGGAGCCCTGGTGGCACAGTTCCCAAGGGCATGATGCTTACTGAAAGGTCAGTGGTTCAATTCCAGCCACTGCTCTTTGAAAGAAAGCTGTGGCAGCTGTCCATTTCAGTGATGATGCCGGCCTCGGCCATCCCATAGCGCAGTGTGCGTCGTCCCACACCATCACGCTGAGTCACAGTGGACCTGACCACGGTGGGCAGTGAGTGTGATGTCCTCTCTGTGGATTTGTTCTGGGGGCTTCTTTCGTGCACCCCACCTTAGTGTACTTCCGGTGCTCACACCTCTGTGTGGTCTTGTTCGCACTCCTGTCCCCTCTTAGCTCCGTCGTGTTAGCCCTGTCATCCACGCATGTGTCGGTGCACGGGGCGGCCACTGCTGCTCCACATGCTCAGCGCAGCCTGGCTCCTCAGGCGCTGTGGTGTCTGCTCAGCTCGGTCTTGCTTCCTCCCTCCAGGGTCCACGGGATGCTCATAAGCCCCCGGAGACCGACCATTGAGAAGATGGCCTTGCGGAAGTCCTCCCCACTGCAGGCGGCCCACAGGCGCATGGTGGTCAGCATGCCCAACCTGCAGGACATCACCATCCCCGACCTCCCGCCCCGGAACTCTTCTCTGCGGAGCTTCAGCCCCTCGTCCTGTCACAGCAGCTTCAAAGGTGAGTGCATCACCCACCTCTCTGGGGCAGCCCTCTCGCAGGTAGATCCCACAGACCAAACACACTCCCTCTCGCGTCCTCTCGGTCCTGGCCCCCTGGGACCCCCTCCAGGTTTCCGAGGCTGGCAGTTTTATGAGAGAAGACTGCCTTTTTTCTCTTAGAGAGGGGATGGTAGAATTGAAGCCCCGACCTTTTGTGCCTAATGCACTACCACCCAGGGCGCCTCCCCTCCCCCTCCTCTCCCTCATTGCGGAGTCGGAAGGACCCTCCCGTGGGTTCTCAGAGGCTGGGAACCAGACAGGAGGAGACTGCGCATCTTTCTCCCGTGGTGGCTGGCGGGATGAATCACTGGCCTGAGGGTTGGCAGTGACCTTGCCACAAGGCCACCAGGGCTCCCTGACAGAGAGTCTTAATTGAAATTGGGGGATCTCTGGTGGTGTCGAGAGCTCTGGGAAGAAGCGCCTGTGGTAAGAAGCTGCGCTGAAATCCCGAGGGCAGGCAGCTTGGATCCCAGATGCTATGGGAGAAGGATGGGCATTCTCCGCCCTCTGACAGCCACGGGAGGGTCGGCCCACGGTGACAGCCACCGGGTGTAGTCCACCCAGAGGCCGCATGCCGTTGATTGTTCGAATCTACCAGCAGCTAAGAAAGGTCGACGGCACACCTGCCCTCTCGTGAGGTTTACCCCCTCCGGAGCCGCTGCCAAGTCAGCTGTCAGAACTGAGTCGAAGGCGGAGAGCTTGATGGAAATGAATAAGTTACAAACCCAGAGCGTCTGTATGAAACCGAGAAATCAGCCACTGTCCCTGAGTCTCGCCTGACCCGTAGTGACCCTCTGCCGGGGTTCTGAGGCTTTAACGGGGCTAAAAGGACTCACGGCCTGCCTTGTCCCCGAGGAGCACTGGCAGATTTGAACCAGACACTTTGGAGAGCATGGCAAGCAACACACCATCACCAGAGCTCCGTTTTCTAGTAGAAGGAAGGGTTTTACACATTTTAGATGTTAGTGGTTTGAAAGATTTTTAGAGCATTTTGTTTTGACCCTGCGGGTGTCACCTGAGGGATGACAGTGTGAGCGGTCAGGCCACACGGGCAGTCGAGCCTCATCCTGGGGGGTTGCCATACTCCGTGGTCCACTCAGTTTTTGCTGTTGAGCCATCAGCTTATGGGGACCCCCCAGATGGGAGCCCCGCTCGCTCCTGCCCCATCATTCCCAGCTTGAGTATCATTACCCGATTTTCTCTGCAAACCTGCGGCTGTGAATGAACACTGGGCCTGGGCTGCATTGTTTGCTTTTTTATTGGAGGAGGGCGCCTGCATTATTTAGCCGTTTGTTCTTTGCCTTCTTACCCCCCACCCCTGCTTTATCCCTCAGTTCAGAATGTGACCCCCAAGTCCACCTACATGTTCAAGGTCCCCGAAATCCACTTTCCACTGCTGCCCCAGTGCGTCCGCACCTACTACGAGGACTTCGTGGACCAGCTGAGCAGAGCCATGGGCCTCCTGGGCCCTGACAACTCAGCGCTGCTGGCCGGCTACTGCTACCTGCGTGGCCTGGTGCACCTGACGCAGGGGAGGCCGCTGTGTGCGCTCCGCGACTTCCAGAGCCTCTACAAGACCGACCTGCGCATATTCCCCGCTGACCTGGTCAGGAGGGCCGCAGCCTGCTTGTCGGCCCCTGAGCGTGCCCAGACCGAGCGCACCCCTGAGCTGAAGCGGCTCATCAACGAGGTGGTGGACAAGCCTGGGGAGGTGGCCAAGGTGGACGAGCATGTCAAGAACTTTGAGCTGCCCAGGAAGCACATGCAGCTGGACGACTTCGTGAGGCGGGTCCAGGAGTCAGGGGTGGTCAAGGACGCTGGCACCATCCACCGCCTGTTCGAGGCGCTGACCGTAGGTAAGGGGGCTAGGCGGTGCCGCTGGACGGTCTCAGGACAGCAGTGGGTCCTCTGTGTCCCTGTGGGGGACAGTCGCTCAGTGACCACCAAGCATCACTATCTGAGGGTCACTAGACCGTATCTGAGCCAGGGTAGGTGTGTGTGTGTCTGTGAATGTGAGTGTGGGCTGAGTGTGCACACGGCTGGTTATGTGGCTGCTGTTGTATGGCACGTGGTAGTACACGTGGCTGGGTGTGCACGTGGTCGTGGCTGTGCAGGGATAGGTGGCTGCCCGAGTGTGCACATGGTTGTACGTGGCTCAGTTAGTTTGTGTGGCTGGGTGTGTGTGTGCTTGTCCGTGGCTCTGTGTTGTCCGTGGCTCTGTGTGGCTGCGCTGGTTCAGGTGGCCCACCCTGGGTGTGTGTGTCCCTGGGGCTGTGCCCTCTGCCCCGTGGTCCTCTCTGAGCTCTGTGTTGATGTGCTCACAGGTGTCAGGTGGGTTCTGCCTGTGGCTAGATGATTTCTAACCGGCAGTGAAGGGCTTCATAGCGAGCAAACCTCTTCCTTGCTTGGTGACTGTGCACTCTGTCTGGCTGGGACTGTCAGGTTGAGAAGCGTCTGATTCTGCAGGAAGGTGAAGGCTAGAGAGAGGGGCAGAGGTGGCCATTACTGAAGCCGATGTCCTGAGAAAATGGGAAGCCGTCTGCGACAGGGCAGTGGGTAGGCACCAGAAGCGGTGCTGCCCTGTGCACCCTGGCACCGGGTGCTGTCTCACCCCCAGCAGTCTCCTCAGTTTCCACTATCCCTGTTGAAGTGCTGGGTCAGCGATTCCCAGAGACGGTGGCTGTGCTCTCACCTGCAGCCCCATGCCACCCTCTGCTGGTGAGAGGAGGTACTGCTGGTCAGGACACCCGCTTCTCGGCTCTTCAGGAACATTTGGGGGCCTGGAGCTCTGACCTGGGAGCAGGTGGACCGGACTCATTGTGCACCGTCAGATGTTGCTCTGTGGGTGCTGTGGTTACCAGACATGCCTGCGCCCTACTCCCGTTTCCTCATTTCCTCACTCCCCCGAGTTTGGCCAGGTAAACATGTGCTGTGTGCTGTGGGGTTAGTGGGGTGACAAGCACTGGTGAGTAACACCCATGGGGAAATGTAGACCAGGGTACCCGAACCAGAGCAGGGGCATTGGACAGCACTTCCCAGATGGAGGTTGGTGGGTGAGCGACTTGGGGCCCAGTGGGGACCTGGTGCATCTCACGCCTACTAGTGACCCAGCCTTCCAGGGTCACAGATGCCACCAACTGGGCATGCCCAGACACCTCGCTCTCTGCTGTCTTCACTGGCCGATGCTTAGAAATTGGGTGGTGGATGGTAGTTAGATGCTGTCCATTCGGCTGCGACCTCGGGTAACCTGGGCAGCTGAACGTGGCCTGAGTCAGTCCTGGGCTTCCTGACAATCCCAGGTGTGTCAGAGCCGCCAGGTGCCTCACAGCTGTGCACTGCTCTGGTTCACTTCTTTTTTTTAATTTTATTTTACTATTTTTTATGTGTGTGTACCATCAAATCAGATCTGACTGGTACAGGAGGAGATTACCCCTCCTTCTCCAGCAGAGCATCTGGTGGATTTGAACTGCATACCTCTGGGGTTGCAGTGTAGCTTCTTGCCACTAGGCCACCAGAGCTCCCTTGTTGTTCACTTCTGTTGTGTGTGTGTGTGTGTGTGTGTGTGTGTGTGTGTTTTCTCCATCAGCACAGTGACCTGGCTGTGTGGGGTCAGAGGCTGATTCAGAGACACTGCGGCCTGGGGTTCAGACTTCACAGTCAAGCCATCGATAAGAGTATATACAACAGTGCATATAATCGTGGTTAGACTTTGTGGAATAGTCTATAGAATGTTGTTAATTGATTGCCTTCGAGTTGAGCATGACTCATAGTGACCCTATGAACAAAAGGCCTGAAGCTCCTTTACAAATATTGACAATTATCAAAGTCAGTAGTGTTTCCAGAGGCATGTTATTTAGAAAATGGATGCCACTTCTGCTACCAAACCTGTCAGAGTATGTCATTGTTTTTATGTGCCATTGAGTTGCCTGCGATGTATAGCGACCCTATGTACAGCAGCTCTGAACGCTTTTCTGTCCAGAGCCAGTCTCACTAACTCTGACACACCAATCTCCATTGCCCTAGTTACTGTATTAGTCCATCTCATTCGGGATCTCCCTCTTCTGTGCTGTCGGCCTACCCCTCCAAGCATGATGGCCTTCTCAAAGGACTGATCTCTCCTAGCCACATGCCCAAAGTAAGTGAGGTGGAGCTTCAAAATCCTAGCCTCCAAGGAGAGACTTGGTTTCACTCTCTCCAAGACAGACCTATTTGTTTTCTTGCCAGCCCATGGTATGGTCGAGACTCTTTCCAGCACCACAACTCAAAGGCATCTATTCTTCTTCTGTCATCCTTAGTCATTGTGCAACTTCTGAAGCATAACAGGTAATTGAGAAGACCATGGCCTGGATTGGGTGCACCTTTGTATCTAGACTGACGTCATTACTCTTCAGCACTCTGGAGAGGTCCATGACAGCAGATTTTCCCCAGTGCGATTAATCTTTTAATTTCCTGACTGCTGGTGTTAAAGAGTGTTAATTATGGATCCAAGCAGCTGTAATTGTTAACAACCTCAATCTCTTCTCCATCTAATATGGTGCTTCCAATTGGCCCAGTGGTGAGAATCTTTGTCTTCTTGATGTTGAGCCTCATTCCATATTGAAGACTACAGTACTTGACCCTCTGCAGCAAGTGTTTCAGATCCTCCTCAGTTTCAGCAAGCAGGGTTGTGTTATCTGCATATCGTAGGTTGTTTATGAGTCTTCCTCCAATTCTGATGTCACATTTTTCCTCAAAGAGTCCAGTTTCTCAAAGTATTTGCTTAGCATACAGATTGAATAGATATGATGAAAGAACACAGCCCCCCTGCCTTTGTTTATGAAGCAGTTTCTTCCTTTCTCTTTTTTAATTGTGAAAACATACACAGGTATGTTTTTCACAATTAAACACACACACAGAGAATTGATGCCTTTGAGTTGTGGTGTTGGAGAAGAGTATTGAATATACCATGGACTGCTAAGAAAATGACCAGGTTCATCCTGAGAGGGTTAAACCAGGATGCTCCTTAGAGGCAAGGGTTCTGAAGCTTCATCTGGCATACTTTGGACATGTTGCAAGGAGGGACCAGACCTTAGAGAAGGATGTCATGCTTGGGACAGTGGAGGGACAACACAGGAGAGGAAGACCCTCTATGAGGTGAATTGATTCAGTGACTGGGGTGACTGGGATGGGTGTGTCAGAGGCAATGTGGTTGGCACAGGATAGAGCAGGGTTTAGGGCTGTTGTATATAGGGTCACTGTGAGTGGCAGGTGACTCAACAGCACATAAGAACAATAACAATTGTGAAGGACATGTGTGGGGATACAAGGGGGTGAGGGTTGGGAGCAGAAGGGTGAGGATGGGCAGGGATGAAATCACAGGGCTGCACAATTTGATGGGTGAGGGGAGTGGGTGAAGGAAATGAGAAAGATCCAGTGGGGAACAGAAGAGTAACAGGGAAATGGTGAGCATAGTTCAATGGTGATTAATTTTTATTTATTTATTTTTAACAAAGAAATTGTCTTATCACTTGTGGGTTTCTCATTTGGGAATGGAGTGCAGACTGTCTGGCCTCTTCATGCTGAACAGGGACGTTGATGTGAAGGGGGAGGAGGAACCCACTTTAACTGGAGCCAAGCTGTTTCAGAAGTGGATGCAACTCCTGCTTCCAAGCTTGTTTTAATCGAGGAGCTCCACCCAACACTGTCTGTGCCATGGGTAACCATTATCACATTTGACACATCAGTGTCACAGTGTTTAGCCTCACAGCAACCAGTTATCTCTGTAGAGCCAATTAACAGAGCAGTGATATATTACTTAGAAGAGTATTTGACTGAAAACAATCAAAACCAGTCCTGAGGGCCGCAGATTAAAATCCCTGACCTTTGGTATGGTAGCATAGCTTTCTATCTAGGCCCACCAAGATCTCTCTCTGACTCACAGCAATTCCATGAACAACAGATCTAGTCCTTGTCCTGTCCTACCCTAACCCTGCCATCCCCACAATCTGAGGCATGCTCAAGGCCATTGCTACACCTTATCAATCCATTGTGTTGATGATCTTTTCTTCTCTGACCTAGCCAAGGAAATCTTCACTGACAGCAAGTATCAAGTCCTTCACCTCCAGGCTCCATGACACCACCTACACTGTCCTCTCCCCCGCCACCCGATCCTGGCCCACGGCTGTTGGCATCCACCACTACCAGCCATGCAGGGGCTCTTTCACATTGGTCGTGGGGCCCAGTGCTTGCCACCTGGCCCAGTTCAGGGGACCTATGGGCTCTGGTCATGGCGGCCCCATGGGGTCGCGGCAGTGTGGGCTTGGCGGCGGGTAGCCGGTGAAAGTGGGACTCACCCATATTCTTTCGAGAGTCTTTATCCTCTTGATGTTGAGCCTCAGTCCATACTGAAGACCAACAGCCTGGCTGTTTGGGTAGAGACGTTGTGTGGCCTGTTTCGCTGCAGCTTGCCTCACGCCGTGTCTCTCACCACTGCCATCTTGGTTTTATCTTGAATTTATTTTAGAGTAAGTTTATTCTGTGGCAGTGTGGAGTCTCCATCGTACCAGCCGTGGGGCTTGGTATCTGTCGTCCATTCCAGGTGAGGGGATCCCTGGGGTCCAGGCGTGGAGGTCCCATGGAGCTGCGGCCACGGTGTGGGCTCGGCAGTGGGGGGCTGGGAGCCGTGGGACTCACCCATTCTTTCTTGGGATTCTTTGTTCTTTTGATGCTGAGCCTCGATCCATATTGAAGACCAGTAATCAACGGTTTAGTTGTTCAATTGTGGATGAACTGAGGGCTGTGGGGGCCATGGTGGCCCGTTTCTAGGCTGCTTGCCGCTCCTACGGCTCCTTGCTGTTTCCTCTGCCGCCACCGTCCTGGTTCCCCATGAAGAGGTTTCTTGATTGAGGGGTAGGTTTTATGTTAGCATTAAATGTCCTGGGATTCCCGTTCTTCTCAATGTTAACCATAGTTTTGTTATGATCAACAGAGTCAAATGCATTTGCAAAGTCAATAAAATACAAATATACGTTCTTCTGGTTTCCTCTGATTTCTGCCAGGACCATCTGACCTCAGCAGTGATATCCCTGGTGCCATGGCCACTTCTAAACCAGCTTCAACTTCTGACAGTTCTCTTGTCAGTGCACTGTTCTAGCCATTTGGGATGATCTTCAGCAATATTTTGCATGCATGTAATATTAAGGACATTGTTCAGTAATTTCTACGTTCTGTTGGATCACCATTCTTGAGAATGGGAACAAATATGGATCTTTTCCATTGACCAGATAGCTGATTTCCAATTTTCCTGGCACAGACTGGCGAACACATCCAGGGCTGCATCTGTTAGTTGAAACATATCAATTACTGTTCCGTCAGTTCCTGGGGTCTTATTTTTGTAGTGTCTTAGGAAGTATCTAATGGTACATGTAGTAGTCGGCATACTCTGTAGGGAGTTGCTCTGTTAATCCACATGTGGACTCTCTCTGGTGGTTGGAATCCACAAACTACTTTGAGGGGGAAAGATGGGAAATCTCCTTCTGTAGGATTTACAGCCTCTGAAACTGCTGGACAGTTGGTCAGCTCTGTGTTGGTTTTGACTTGATGGCAACGTGTTGAGTCAGGTGATCTTAGAATTCAGATGTGAGAGCTTTATCTCAGGTTGCATGCTTATTTGAATTGAGTAAAGCTAAGTAAGGCTAAGAGCCTATGGTGATGAAGGAAGAAGTTCAAGCTGCTTTGAAGGAAATAGCAAAAAATAAGGCCCCAGGAATAGATGGTACACCAATTGACATATTTCGGCTAATGGATGCTGCCCTGGACGTGCTCACCAAGTTGTGCCAAGAAATCTGGAG